TGGGAGGACACACTATTCCAAAATGGCATGTTTTCAACAGGAAATGTTAAGGTAAAAACATCTTGATATGATGTTAAGATTCTCATGAAAGATTAAATAAACTGTGGAAAAGACTGGCAAAGTGTGACCCTGCTCTGCCCCTGCAGCCCCCTATCCCAGCACCTGGGCCTCTCCACAGCAAGTAGATGGAGGTGTTTGTCTGGTCCCCCAGGGCAGGGCCCAGGTCTAGCTCTTGTCTGGGTCCCAGCCTCGAATGGGCATCACCGAGCAGGAGTCAGAGTAGGTGTGGAAGGTGAGAGTGCGTGTGTGTTCGAGAAGGAAAAGGTGCTTAGCAAACTGAGAGGTAGCAGGGGAATGTGAGGAATCATTACCCAGAGTGCTGAGCAAGCACTGGGTCTTACATGTGCCCCTCACAGAGAGAGCAACTGAGGCCCCTAGAGGCACAGGGGCGATCCTGAATCACACAGCAAGTCAGAGCCCATATGGGGACCTCAGGTCTGTGAATGGGTCATAGGGGTCATTTGGAAAGATTCAAACCAGACTTTACTCACTGCTCCTTCAAAGCCAGTGGAGCAGCGGCAGGTCACCTGCCTGGAGTCACCCATGACCTGGTCCCTGACATTCCCTTCAATTCCCCCATCAGAACTAAAACCTTCAGACTACTGTCATTTGGCCCAAGCCCCCTCGCTGCACATATAGAGAAATGAAGGATCAGCCCAACCAGCAGGGACAAAGCAGAGATAAGAATCTCGGTCTCCCAGCTCTTAACCAAAGGCTCAGTTCCTGTTCCCCATTACATGACACCCCTTTCACTACCCTGGGGGTGACCGTGGCATAGTCACTACCCTCTCCCTGCCTCAAGATTCAGTCCCCACCCAGGGCCCCCACCCTGCCCAGTGTCCCAAGTCTTGACATGCTCCTGGGTACCCCTTCCTACTCACCATCTAGTCAGACATGAATGGCTGCCTGGATCTCCCCTCTGGGAGATGAGGAGAAGGACTCCTTCTCCCCACCCCCACCCCCTCCTCTCAGGGGTAACTGGGCCTGCCAGTTTAGGTGGAGAAAGTTTCCAGGTTGTCAAGGGCAATGAGGCAGTATTCTGGGGGCACTGTTCTAGAAGATTGGGCAGTGACCTGTGTGATGTCACCAGGAAGTAGCAGAGTAGAGAGGTGGTTCCAGAGGCCCCTCCGAAAGGCCCAGGGCAGAGCACTCTGAGGCCCACAGGGCTGGCTTGGCCTTGAGGAGGACATGTCCTTTACAATCTGATGGCAACAGGCTCTGCATCTCAGTTCCAATGGGGAACCAGGAACCGGATCTAAGCATTTGCCCAGGGCGGGCCTACCGCCCCTGCTGGGCCTCCCTCAGTAAATAGCCCAAACCCTGCAGGGAGGGAGCTGCTAGAGCCTGAGAGAGTCACACGGAGGCACAGTCAGTTACCCACATCCTCACTCCTCCTGGTGACTCTCTCACAGCCACATACCATCATACTGATGTCCTGTCACACTCCCGCACAGCCACACACCATCTCAAGTCTCTTTCTTGGCCCGTCAGGCAAAGGTAGGCATGCTTCAGCATGCTGGGTCACCCAGAGTACTGAAGTAGAGTCATCAGATAAAGCATTGGACACCTAGTGAAATCTGATTTTCAGATAAGCAAAGAATTACTTTTAGTATAAGTATGTCCCAAATGTTTGCTAAATCTGGCAACCTGATGCCTGAGGCACCGCCATACCCACATCTCAAAGCTTTGAAGTGCTGCACAGTTGCTCACCAGTCCCCTCATAGACCTCAGTCTCTTGTGGATAGGAAAAAAAGGGTGCTATGGAAAGTAACCTCACAGGGTGATCTGATCATAAATTCCCAACTGGGCAGGTCATGGTGGGTAGTAAGTCATGCCCAGGCCTATAACTTCTTTAGTGAAAGGTGCTTTTTTGTTGTTGTTGTTTTTAAAACGATTTCTCTATTAATTTCAGAGAGAGGAAGAGAGAGGGAGAAAGACAGAAACATCAATGATGAGAGAGTCATTGATTGGCTGCCTCCTGCACGCCCCCGACTGGGGATCGAGCCCACAACCTGGGCATGTGCCCTGACTGGGAATCAAACCCTGATCTCCTAGATCCTAGGTCGATGCTGAGCCACACCTGGCCAGCTAGTGAAAGGTTTTAAGCAAGCCCTGTCCATTGTTCTTGTGCATCTAGGCTAACACATCCTTGAAATGCCAGAAAGGGGTATTAACCCTCAAGAGAGCACGTAATTAACTCTCTTATAATCCCATCCCCACCTAGCTTTCTCCCACCTTCATGTAATCTTCCTTACTTCCCTCCTTAATTTCAAATGCACAAAAGAAACTGCAAAACTGTCATTCTCTAGAGCATCTGAGATCTTGCTTTCCAGTAATTGTCATCAGTTTTGGCTCAAATAAACTCTTATGAAAATTCTCCACAGGTTTGGATGTTTCCTTTCTTTCTTTTTTTAATCCTCACCTGAGAAATTTTTTTCATTGCTTTCCAGAGAGAGTGGAAGGGTGAGGGGAAAGGGAAGGAGAGAAAGAGAGAGAAATATCCATGTGGCAGAGACAGATACGTGCCCTTGACTGCGAATTGAACCCGAGGTCCTTTGGCCCACAGGCCAACGCTCTAACCATTGAGCAAACCAGCCAGGGCTGGACATTTCTTACATTGACACCTGGGAAGGTCTGAGCTCCTTAAGCAGGGCTCTCAGAGGAGTTTCTCCCCCCAGCCTCCGTGCTTTGGAGGTGGACCCTGCCACACCTCCTACCATCCAAAGGGTGATTCTAAATGTTCCCCAAGACTCCTCTAGAGCCAAAGGGTGGAAACTGTTCTGAGTCAGGGTGCTGAGGACCCAGCCTTGAGACTAAAAAATATGGGCTGCCAAAAAAGGTGCCTTGTCTGTCCCAGGGCTGGAGTCCTTGCCCTGGTAGAAGGGCCAGACAACCTCATCCTTCTGAGGGGAGGGCCTGGAGTCAGGCAAATGGATCAGGAACACCTGACAGGATACTCCATGGCTTTCGGAAGGCTGCAGTGACCCAGTGATCAAACTGGGTTCCTGCAGGCAGCAGTGCCCAATAGAAATCATGAGCAGGAGACCCAGCCTCAAGGGAAGCGGTGTGGGTGTCCATCTGGGCCTGAGGCCCTCTCAAAGGGGGAGTCTCCATGGTTCTGTTCTGGGCCTTGCCCAAGGTAAGCCTGTTTTTCTGTCATATGGTGATGCTCAAGATGCCTCCCCACTGGCCTGAGGCAGGTGGGAGGTCTCCGTAAATTGTCAAGCCCTGCATGGTGGTGGTGGTATTAGATTCCTCCCTCCCCCCAAGCCCGGGTTGACCTGAGCAGTAGGACCTGCAGGCCCAGAAGGCAGATCCCAGGTCTCTAGCGTGCAGGGACTGGGGGACGGGGGTGGGGGAAGGATGGGACAGATACGGTGAAATCCCTTCTCCGCAGCCTAGCATAATGGCTAAGAGCTTGGCCAGGGAAACAAGCTGAATGGGTGGGAACCTCTTACTGTGTGATCTAGGACAATTTACTGAATCTCTGTGTCTCGGTTTTCCCATGTCTAAAATAGGTAGACTAGTGTGGTTTGACATCATTGCAATGGGGATGAAGTGAGTTCATACACACGGAGTGCTCAGCACTGTGACTGGTACACCAGTGAGTGCTCAGTAAATGCCACAGCTGCTATCAGCTTTTTTGAAAAGTGTGTTTTCTTTTTAAAAAAAATATTGATTTTAGAGAGGGGCAGAGAAGAGAAACACTGATTTGTTGTTCCACTTATTTATGCATTAATTGGTTGATTCCTGTATGTACCCTCACCCAGCTATCAAACCCACAATCTTTGCATATCGGAACAAGGCTCTAACCAACTGAGCTACCCAGCTAGGGCCTGCTCTCAGCTTATCTCCTGAACCCCCTTACCCCTGTCTGGCATTGTCACTGGGTTGTGCCACCATATTAGTAATCTTCTGTTTGTTTGTTTGTTTGTTTGTTTGTTTAACAAATGAATGGAGACACAAGTTTTTTTTTTATTTTATTTCTTTGTTGTTGTTAATCCTCACCCAGGGATATTTTTTCCATTGATTTTTTTTTTTAGAGAGAATGGAAGGGAGGGGGAGAGACAGAGAGAGAGAAACATTGATGTGAGAGAGACACATCAATTAGTTGCCTCCAGCATTCACACAGACCGGGCCAGCGATCGAGCCTGCAACCGGGGTACGTGCCCTTGACTGGAATTGAACCCAAGACCCTTCAATCTTTGGGCCAACGCTCTAACCATTGAGCCAAACCGGCCAGTGCCATGTTAGTAATCTTTAAACTTTCATTCATTTTCTTGCATTCTCCCCAACATATCCTCAGGTCAAACTCAGAAGAGAAATTTCAAGAAGGCTAGCCAAGCCTGCGGCCAGGAACCAAATAAGAAACCCAAGGACCATAACTAAGAAATCGTTACTCTGGAAAGATCCAAGACGGACTCTGAAACCCCTTCCCAAGCCACCTTTTGAGGAACTTTCCTTCATTAGCATACTAAAAGTCACACCCAGGGGTGGAGATTAAACATTAAAATATGAGACATGCATTGTATGGCTAGACATGTTCTAAGCATGTTTGGGGACAGTGCATACTTCCTTGGAAATCTGAGAACTCTCCATTTTCTCAGAAATGTCTGCCCCTGAGACCTTCTACCTCCCTCCCAAACCCTGTAAGAATTTCCTAACTCCCCAGGATCAGGAAGAAGGGATCTTTAGAGCACAAGATCATCCTTCTCCACTCTTTGGCCAAATAATAAATTTTCTGATCTGCTTTACTGAACATGGTTTTGTTCTATTGGCACGAGCAACAATGGGCAGAATGACCATGATTTCAAGTCCCTGACCCACAGGGGTTGGTGACAACATCTGTACCCAAGGCATGGCCCCTTTCCTATGACTTTGATCCTTGACCCAAAGGCAGTACCTCCCTCTTCTCCTGAACGGGAGGAACCAAAACAGCCTGGGTTCGCCCTGGCCAGTGTGGCTCAGTTGTTGGGTGTAGTCTCCCGCACCAAAAGGTTGCCTGATTGGTAAGGGCACATGCCCAGGTTTTGGGCTTGATCCCTGGTAGAAGGAGTGCAGGAGGCAGCAGATTGATGTTTCACTCTCACATGTTTCTCTTCCTCCCCCTTCATCTCTCAAAATCAACTAAAAATCTTAAAACAAAAACAGCCTGGGTTCACCTGGAACCTGGAGGTTGAGCATAAAGCAGAAAATGGCACTATGACGTCTTGTCCCCATCGCTTACCCCCAATTCCAAACAGCTATCAAAGGCCTGGATGGGTCCCCTTTGAGAAGTCTTCACTCAGTGGCTCCTTGCATGCCCAGAGCTCCCTCCTCAGTGTCTGTCAACTGGAAGCTAGGACAGGAGTAGGACAAAGGGAGCTTGGCCATGCCCAGGCAGTGGGCAAGATAGCACTGAGATGTCCATACTCCAGGGGGATGGTTCCCAGGACCATGCAAACAGCTGGTGTGGGGAAGGCTTGATAGGGGCTCTGAGAACTGGGCTGAAAGCTCTGCCCTGGGTCAGGGTTCATTCTGGGACAAAATCCACACCTGCAATGGGCCTAGGACAGGCTCCACTTCCATGGGACATATGTTGGAAAACTCAGAGCTAGTGTATTAATAATATGCAGATTATGACCTGTTGAATGAGGGAACACAAGCCACCCACACTGGGTTGGCAGATAGCTCCCTCAACATTAGAGCTCCCACTTTGGAGAAGTGAAAACTCTGGGGCCCTTTTGATTGAAGGCACAGTTTCAATACATTAACACAAAGGAAGTAGTCACAAGATTTATTACTTACAGATCCCGGAAGTGAGGGCGCACAATGAGGGGGTGGGAGGAAGGGCAGTTCTCTGTCCCAGGTCCCGAGGGAGCAGGAGATAGTCTGATAGCAAGAAGCACCCATTACTAAGGTGGTTGGAGCAGAGGCACTAATTTTTTCACAGGCTCAACTCTGGTCATTTAAACATGTGCCCAGGAAAAGCAAAGCAGGAACTTATGGCAGGATCCTAAGCTCAGGCCCTTATTTAAATGTCCAGACTCTGGGTGTGAGCAGGGTTGACATACTGTAAATGCCTAAGCAGCAACACAAAACGACTGTTTTCTCATCGCAAGGCACTGATGTGCAGGCAACGCCTGCCAACCACTGCCCCCTGCCCTGAGGCTCTGGGTCAGCAGCATCTCCACAGGGCTCCCCGGGGGAGGCTGTCTCCTTCAGCACCTTCTAAAATTAGGGCTTGGGCTCTGTGACTCATTCTTGAAACTGCTTTGCTCCCCTCCTCCAGGATTGAGCTCCTACGGTATTTTCATCCTCTGCTGTCTCAGACTGATTAATAAGGCCCTAGAATCCTGCAGCAGCCACCACACCAGTCCACACCCCATCCCACCCCCATCAGCTTTGGGCTTCTCTCTGATTAGGTCTGTTTGCCTCCCCTTACCTTTCCAAACACTCACCTCCACCCTGCCACCCCCAACCAGAACCCACTCAGATGACCATATTGGGGGCTGGTTCCAAGCAGGACTGTGGTGGCAGTGGGGAAGGAGAGATGGAGCCAAGCTTTGCCCCGTCCAAATCAGTTGCCAGGTACAGCCTCACTCCCACCTTACTGAGGAGCTCTTGGTGAGTTCTTGGCCTTTCTGTGCTTCTATAAATAAGGGGTTTGCATCAGACCTCCATTACGGAGGCTTGAACCATAGTTGAAATTAGCACTGAGTGAGATCTCTACCTTCAAACAGGGTGGAGCATGATATCTGAGG